ACTTCCTGTTACTCTTGCTTATCAAAAAACAAAAATTGTTTCCAGCATATCTGTTAGTGTTAGCATTTTCACATCTTAGAATAACTTGTTGCTAAACAATAATTTATATATATTCCTTCAATAGTTTGTACAATATTACCATGAAAGAATGATTCAACAATTTGATTGTCGAAATATTATTGGCAATATTCTCATATAGATCGAGAAAGAGATGTAGATAGAGATATAGATAAAGATCTAGATCTAATGAGAGATATAGAGACTTCAAAATCTCTATGCAGAAGAGGCCTCACAACATTTAACTAGGAAAAGTTGATGTCTCTCTTCTTATATTAAGAGGCATTTTTATAAAATTTCAGCACAAACTCTCTTATATCGAGAGATTTATAGTAAGCTTTCTTATAAGCTTTCTTTCTTATATCGACGTAAAATCGGAGATTTTAAAATGGATATCCATTTGGTTAGTGCTGTTTAGAAAAGTACAAGATCTGTAATTCAGTAGACCGAAAAAGTAAGGTGAAATAGAAGGTCACGAGTTACGCTCAAAATATCATTATAATCAAATCTATGTACTCTCATATTCTTCCTTTTGATTGTTTTTATACATTATCCGTATCAACAGCTTTGTATAAATGACATTTATATTATCGGTGAATGGGTCTCCTGGTAAAAATGGACGGCACGGACGTAGTGCCGCATTCTCTGGTGGAGGAAGAAACGGAAGAGATGGAGAGAATGCCACAGCCCCGACCGTTGGAACTGATGCCGGAGGTATTTACAATCTTTTTCAATTAGAATGCTGTCAATGTTGCGAGACTTAATACAATACTAATTACTATCGTTTTAACAGAAATCGATTTAACCCTCGTCGAAAGGTTTGATAGCTAATTTGCGGTATATGTGTTATCTTTCTCGTTGGTTTAACTTACGTTTACATCACGGACAGAGACAATGTACACGGCGCCTCAGCTGAAATATCAGGCACCTTCCGTAAGCCAGGTCTTCATACTGACAATTTTGAACGAACGTATATTTGCGCTACGGATGATTTGTTTATTTTGTCAGGTACGAATAAGTTTGTATTCCTGAAAATAAAATCGTATTTGTAGACGAATTAAAAAATTTCCCGAATTCTGGGGGTTGACTATCCCAAAAATTTTGAATGTGATCGTCCTTTGCGCCAACCAAATCGATGTTAGCTTGCGGAGGAAGTGGTGGAAAGGGGGGCATCGGAGGAGATGGAGGTAATTATTTTGATCGTGCGACATTCCCACGGATTCAGAGCAGAGCATATACTGTACATAATCATAAACTGAAATCTTTTTGTTTCACAGAGGATGGCTCTCGCGGTAAACATGGACAAAACGCGACTCGGTATGTCTTCTTTCTTTTTTAATTTAGCACATAATCTGGTTTAGCATCTCAATTGCTTAATTCGATGAATGCCAATAATAAAGGTATTCCGCTGCCACTAATGGAGGAAGAGGAGGTGATGGAGGGGATGCAGGTGAGAACATCAATTGACTGCGAAAAAAAGAAACAGCTTCTGCAAAGTTGTTGATAATCATAGTGATAATGCAAATTTATAGGCGCAGGAACCAGGTGGGGTATTTTTATTTCAATCAACAATGTTTTTTTATTGCTACTGTTATGAAATGTCTTAAGTTTTCTGACGAAAAATCTGCATCTTCTAGCGGTGCCGATGGTGGAAATGGCGGCAACATTACCTTGCGCATGCTTGATACTGATGCCGGATTGTTAATGATGTTTGTACAAAGTTGGACTCCAACTGTTTCCTACTCCTTGGATGTCAGGGGAGGTTCAGGCGGTAAATACAATGTCTTTATATGCTTTGATCCGTTCATCGACGTAACAAATTGCTCAACAATTATCTGAATGTAGGCGAGGCCGGTCGGCATGGGATACCAGGTACGGGTCTATATGCTTATCTCGTTAACTTGCGGTATTTCTAAGACCACTACAAAATCTACAGGTAGAGGAGGACCGGGTGGCTTTGGTGGCAGTGGTTACTCGTGGACCGAAACGACATATGATCGCAACTCGGACGGAGAGCTTGTCGCTCGATATACTACTCACCATAAACCGGGTAAGTTTTGTGAGTTGGCCTTGATTATGCCTTTTCAGTCATATTGATTTGCTTCCTTTAATAATATTAGGCGGTTATGATGGTCCTTCCGGCAGTGATGGACGTAGGCCAACCCATCTTCTTTATGACGGGAGGCCAGGAACTGACGGTAAATTTTGGTTTTTGATTCAAGACAGGTACTGAAACACGTGCATTCTTCATAGTTGGTTTTCTGTGATTCTAATTATCGTTTATTTCCAGTATCACGAACAAAGTCACAAAATACGGCGAGATTTTTGATATACGTTTGCGCTATGTCGTTGCTCATTCCGTTACGGGGGTTTTTGAACCCGAAGCTCAAATTTACATTGATACATTGACAGTTAATAATATATCTAAGATGCCCACGCCGAGACGTATGTATCTAATTTACAGGAAGGATGTTGTTGCTATATATATATCTTTTTTTTTCTTACACTTTTAATAGGTGATATCCGCGTCAATGTTAATGACAATGTATGGATTGTTAACAAGAAGGAGATGGACTATACAGCGCTTCCACAATTGATTGCTCCAAAGACTTCTCGAGAATGTGACTGTGAACAATCGCTTTCATTCTTTCTCAGAAAACATACGGTGGATCAGCCGGGTATACATCATACCTGCTTGTTCTCGATTGATCGAATTGATTTATGATTGAGTTGTTGAATTTTTTGAATATCAGGACCACCCCTTCGAGCAACTGACTTGTTGCGGTTAACAGCGACGATGACTGGAGTTGGAAAGATATTTCCAGCTTTCGATATGGAAGGTCGTGTCATCAACATTCAATATCCTATCGAGTTTACGCATATTTCACACTTGAATTCTATGGTATGGGGTTTGGCTTCTATACTATGTATGTAATAAACTCTTGTTACTTGATTTTTCATATCTGTTTGAATTTAAACCTAGGTGGTTAGCCAAAAAACCAAAGTCAAATGGGGCGTGAAGAACACATCCAACGTTGATTTTGGCGCCCTTGCTCCAAACGAACGTCGTATTCGTGTCAGGCTGGACAAGAAGGCCGGCGAAGTTTCGCCTTCCGCCTTGCGATTTGGCTTGAAAACTGGACAACAAGGGATCGGTACCGTCCCTCCGGTGCAGACTCTTGAAAGAGAATATATATTTGAAATTCCTTTGTTGAGAGCTGGCCAGACTTTGCAGTTGGAGGCTACTTTAGAGTTAAGTGAAGCGGAGATATTTGAGTATGCGGAATTTTGGTTATATCTGGAACTTGGACAGGTACGGATGCGAGGCAAGAATGCTTTGGATTTTTAGAGTTGCTAACTCTTTCATTATGAGAATAATGACAACACGGAATTGTACGTCAATTTCAGATCAAGGCACCCTCTTTGCCAAACGTTGTTCATATTCAATCTTTTAATGTCAGAGTTTCCACGATCTACCGCGGTTTTCCTGCAGGCTTTTATCCGGACGTACTACTAGTGACAAACCATAAAATGTGAGCAGTTCTTTATTTTGACAAGAAGAGTCTTATGTCATGAATAAGCGAGCTCTTATTACTGATATGTGTTAACACTTTAATTCAGAGCGCGCGATGAATATGTGGCTTGGGCTGACCTACTCAAGCAACAGCTCGGCCTCCGATTCTTTGTATGGGATATATCGCAAATGGGACATTTCGGTTTTACGAGACCTATACCAACTCTTTATTCGAGCGAACCCACTACATTAATGAAGGATCTTGCTGGCAAGACAATGATTATATTGGATAACGAGTTTGAATATGGAGATTATGCTCGAACGGTTACGGCGCTAACTTTTGCGGTGAAGCGTGAAGTGCGTGTTGCGGATAAAAAAAAGTGAAATTGTTCTGCTCTCCATTTTACTAACGAAACTCTTATATAAACATTTAGTGGCTGCAAGCAGTTCACGAAAATGACAATAAGTTTGTATTCAATTATAATCTATTTTTCCAAAGTATTACTCTTTTGTAATCTGTACAAATCTTCCGAGCAGATTTTACGTAGTTTGTTCCAAGACAGACAGAAATTCCCGTTTAGCTGCATTGAAGGAATTTACAAGGACGCCTTTTGAGACATGGAAGCGGACAAAGCATACATTTGAGCGCGTTTAGAACTTGACGCATCATCTGATGGCAATAGTTGATGACCCTTCAAAACAGACAAGTAGGTTGTGAGCTATTATTGTTTATCGTCATTAAATAAGTTTTCAACGAGTTATGTCTGCATGCAGGCCAACAAATAATGATGAAAACCTCTCTGAAAGTGGTGCACAAATTCCCGATACCTCAGACAATAATGAGAAACCGGTCACCGGTTCTGCGAAATTGATTGATGAAGTTATTGACGTGAAAATCAAAGCAAAGATTTTTCGCAAAATGCAAACCAGAATGACTGGAAAGGCCACGAAAGCTGGCAATAATTTAAAAAAGTTCCGCCCTCATATTCAACATTTGGTAATTTACAAATGGCACAAGGCGAAAAAGCCTCTTTTTAATAGTAAAAAGAACAGTGACGAGAAGACTGGCGGATGTATAACAGTCGTACCAATACTGACGACTACCAAACAAGGGTATGTTTGTGCGATTCAGATTATCGTTCGATTTGTCGTCAATTTCTAACGTATTAATATCTTTGTCTTTACCATGTAAGATTGTTTTTTCAGCTGCTGCTTGGAAAGAGGGTCCCACAACATTCATTCTGACAACGCCAAATTTAAGAGGTGTTATTGCAGGCTTGGGAATTGATATTCACTTTCGTATTTTAGAAAGGATTTTTGTTACAGGACCTGTCAGTGAAGACGACAAGGTCGATGATGTAGGCCTGTTCCTCGCGGGAGGTTTCCGAGTACTTGACGAAAATGAGAAAAAGTTTGCAGAATTTATCAAGCAACAGATCGTTTACGACATTGCTGTCGAATTGTCAACCATGTGCGACGGGATCAGTGCCAATTCTTCTCTTGGGGACGAGCAGGTACAATTAGTCGTCCACACTTACACAACGCTTAAAACTATGTAAGCAATTAAATCTGATTAATTTTTTCAGATTCTAGAGATGATGGAAAACTTGCGCCGTTTAGTCTGGAAGACAGAGTCTTTGAGTGAATCAACGGCGACGACGACTAGAGACGAGTCACTACCAACAATACCCGAAGAGAGTTCAACGGAATTTGATCAAACGCACGACGATGAAAGTAATGGTTATGCTAACGGAACAGTGGAAACACCTCAGATTTACAGTGACCTGGTTAATCATAACGGGCCAACTACAACTGCACTTGGTGATATTAATGAAGAAGAGGAAACAGTCTTTTACATGTTCCCCGTCAAACAAGAAACACCTCTTGGTGGTTGGATAATGGGTAGGTCACAAAGCGATTATATTATGGAATGTAATGTCAATCATTATTGATATTTTTACGTCTATTGTAGATGTACTGGCTCAGCTTTACGCCTTTATCAAGTGTCTCCGGGCAGGAATTCAGCAATCGATTTTGCCCAACAGGAGGACCGCAAAGGTGCAACAGCAATCTATGGATCTCCTTCACCGTATAGGAGACGCAACAATCGTCGACTTTGCGGATCCGAGATCTTCAGCCGCGTTGGAATCCTCGCGTCAACAGCAAGGAATTATAATGATAGCGAACGAAGAATCTTCTGCACCACCGAATATCAGTAACGACAACCAGCAGGATATAGAGTTTGTAACTGATACGTCGACTCCGGTTCAAAATCAATTCAATGGATTATCAATTCATTCTTCGTCGCCAATGTCTATTGCATCTGGTCTTTCGTTCGCATCTGCCATGACGAGTGCAACAAGAATGTCTTCTTCCAGTTTCTATAGCTGCGGCACAGCAGCTTCTCGTTCGCGTGTTCCATTTAAACAATTGGGCCCGGAGCGGCAAAAGACGATCAAATCGTTTAAAAGGGGAGCGAAATTACAGCTTCGCAAAATGATTCAGAATCATTACAAACAGTGGAAGAAAGGTATGTACAGTTTCCATGCTGTACCAACATGACGTGCTATGACAAAAGAGTTTTTTTAAGTCATTTCATTGATTCGTTCGTTCGTTCGCTCAAACTATGCTTCTGGTTTGATTTTCAAGACGCGAATTATTTTCTCGGCGGCGTGTTTGACCCATCGAAAAAGGCTTTACGTCGGAGTGCCAAGAAAGCAGTTTTCGGCCCTTTTGAAGTTTTGGTCGACAACACATTGTATGGATCGAAAAAAAGTGACGGGCAGCAAATAGGAGGAATGCAGAACATAATTATCTCGGGTCCGGAATACTTGGATTTACGAGCACTGGAGACACGCAAAATGAATGATTTGGAAGATATGATTTCCAACTTTTTCCACTTTCAAAGTGCTATGATTGAGGGACTCATATAACATTTCTTACTTTATGTTATTACGTTAGATGCGTTGAAGAGAAGTTTTGCGTAGAAAGGGGGGTTTAGTTTTTAGATGTGTACATAAGGAGATATTTATTTACTATATACGCTACATTATTTATTTTATTTACCGGATAATAGCGAGTCGCATCAAGACGTAATTACTGTTTACGTAAGTGTTATCTTATTATAGTCGCGTCAATTAAGGCGACTTTGTCAAAAATAAATGGATCTTAATTTGTTCTTAAACAATATCACAGAGATGCGTGCGGTAGTGTTTTTAAATGCAATGAACTTTCACAACAATTGGTACTATCATTCTTTACCGCTGACTCCAACAAAACAATCCATTACACTCTTGCCAATCGATGCCTCAGAAATGTCCGCATGGCTACTGCTTTTCCGATGCCTCAGCAACATAACGATTTTGGTTTTGACTTTGCAGAAAAAGTGCAAAATAAAGACTCGTTGCATTCACGGTTAACAGCAAGTTTCCTTTGTTAAGTGATGGTAGTAGCAATCTTACTTCCGTAATATTATAAGCGAAAATTTGTTCCTAACAGCCTCCAGTCACGTAGGTATGCCAATAATTAGTATCAGCGAAAAGTTTTATTATGTCCCGATTGCTGCGGGAAAAGATTTTACCATGTGACTCGCTTATCATACTAATACCACAAGGCAAGGTATTTGCATCTATCGTTATATAGATTATTTATTCTTTATGCTTACAAGAAAGTCAAAAATTGGCTTGTTTTGACTCACAGCTACAACCACATTGCACACTTCTCGTTGAGGTAAAACATATCAGGCAATGATCAACCAATCACATTACGATCCATATTAATATAAGCAAAGGATTAGGATGAGTTCTTCTGTAATATTAAACAATGTCCCGGTCTAGTGCTAGTATTAATGAATTATCAGAGACTGACGCGCTTCAGTTGAGAAATAGTGGGGCTGATTATTTGATGCTAGATCAATATGAAACTGCTTTGAAGTATTTTGCTAAATCTTTGGAATATGAACGAAATAATACATTGGCATCAGGATTAGTGATAGACACTTACTGTATACTTAATCCACATATCAATATATTAAATATTAAAGAACACCAAATTAGTTCTTTGAATCTTGATAGGAATAAATTTGGAGACATTAGAGCAACAGCCTTGACAAAAACTTTAGAATCAAATTCATCCTTGACTTCTTTGAATCTTGATAATAACTGGATTGGAGATACAGGAGCAGCAGCTTTGGCAAAAGCTTTGGAAACAAACTATTCCCTGACTTCATTGGATTTTAGTATTAACGAGATTGGAGATACAGGAGCAACAGCTTTGGCAAAAGCTTTAGAATCAAATTCATCTTTGACTTTTTTGAATCTTGATTATAACCAGATTGGAGATACAGGAGCAACAGCTTTGGCAAAAGCTCTAGATATAGAATCAAATTCCTCTCTGACTTCTTTGAATCTTGATTATAGCCTGATTGGAGATACAGGAGCAACAGCTTTGGCAAAAGCTTTAGAATCAAATTCATCCTTGACTTCATTGAATCTCCAGCATAATCAAATTGGAGATACAGGAGCAACAGCTTTGGCAAAAGCTCTAGAATCAAATTTCTCTCTGACTTCATTGAATCTCTGGAATAATCAAATTGGAAATACAGGAGCAACAGCTTTTGCAAAAGCTTTAGAATCAAATTTATCCATGACTTCTTTGAATCTCCAGTATAATCAAATTGGGGATACAGGAGCAACAGCTTTTGCAAAAGCTTTAGAATCAAATTCATCCTTGACTTCTTTGAATCTTGATAATAACTGGATTGGAGATACAGGAGCAACAGCTTTGGCAAAAGCTCTAGAATCAAATTCCTCTCTGACTTCTTTGAATCTTGATTATAACCCGATTGGAGATACAGGAGCAACAGCTTTGGCAAAAGCTTTAAAATCAAATTCATCCTTGACTTCTTTAATCTTGTATAGAATCAGATTGGGGGTACAGGAGCAACAGCTTTAGCAAAAACTTTAGAATCAAATTCATCCTTGACTCCTTTGAATCTTAACCAGAATCAAATTGAGGGTACAGGAGCAACTTGGCAAAGATTTTAATAGTTATATCAAGTTTATTTTTGACCTCTAAATATTGACATGAGTCAGATTGGAGCAAATTTTTAGAGATAATTAGATTAATATTGGAAATACCAAAGCAAGTCATAGTTAGGTCATTCAGTTTATACATGTTTTTGTATAACTTGTACTTGGTGGCTATTTAAGAACATTGTCTAATAAATTGCATTCTGCTACTATTACTAGAAAATATTACTCAATTATTTTTACAGATTTTTTACAGAAAGCATACATTTCTTTTTGTGGTCATTCTGAATTGGATCAGGTTTTTTGGTGGTTTGCATTCCTTATTGATTGCACCTATGATTTTGTGTATTCTTTATTAAACACAGTTAATGTGGACCTCTAAAGCTGCTTTTTTCACATCATATTAAAATACATGTTTGAGCCTAATAGGAGCTATATTAATATGCCAGAGACTAAAAATTAGATGAATTAATATTACAAGACGTGATGGGTTGAGAAGAAGGTGGAAGGGGTCAGAGATTGATTATGTCAACAATTGACTTGACAGGGGCCATGGGGGGGGGGTCTTCTCCTTGATTGAGATGCTAAAGCAGTGGACTGGAAGGAGAGGATAAGAGTAGTGAGTGTCTTACATATCTCATCATATGATGGGGGGCTTTCCCATGATGAGTATGGTGCAGGACGTCTATACTCGACAATCACGTGATTTGTTTCAATTTTAATTGACCAATAGTATCGTATCGTAAT